CCCGGACAACGAATTAGGCGACAGGTGGCTCAATAACAAAATCCAGTGATAAAATCGAAAGCGTCGACCTCGGGGCCGCCGATCTCGTACACACTACACCGAAATCTATCTATGTTACACGAGCGAACACTACAAAAGGGAGAAAAAGGAAACCGCGGGAATCGGACGGAGGTCACAGGCAAGCGGAGAAAACCAGTGCCGATCCGTAAACAATGCTTCCTAGCTCTCAACTTGCCGAATGCCACAACACTAGTGGCGANAGCGTCGATGCTTGTTCGTCGTATTGGTATATGCACTGACCAATTGCAGTACACCTGAAATCAAGGATGAATTCTACAAGGATCTTTCTCAATTACTCCAAAGTGCTCAATCAACGGACGTCAAAGTAGGCGTCGGAGACCTCAATGCTCAAGTGGGATACCTGAACGAATCAGAAAGGCTTCTTGGAAGACTGCATGAAATCCCAGCCAACCGGAAGGACAACGGAGATCACCTACTTCAACTCTGCGTGGACCACCGCTTGTTTTTGTCGAACACGAACTTCTCACGCAAGAAACGTCACCGTCTTACATGAAAACCACCAAACTCTTCACAACGCTGGACCCAGATCGACCACATCATCATCAGTTACCGGTGGAGGGGATCAATTCAAGACTGCCGCTCTTACTGGTCAACAGCTGCAGATACAAACCACGCCTTGTTACGAGCCAAATTCTCCCTACGCCTGGCAAACAACAGCAGAAAAGCCACCGACAACGGATACCCATAGATTACGTTGGTTGGGACATGTGTTACGCATGTTACCAGATAGGTTTCAACGGCGAGTGATGTTCGCCGAGACAAGTAGTGGGAGGAAGAAAGTCAAGGGTGGCCAAGCTAAGACCTGGAATGAGGGTATGAAAGCCCTGAACGGGGGACTGGGTCACATAGGTCCCGTTAGGCTCTCTGGCTGGGGACCTCGAGAAGATCGTTCCCGATGGTTAGAGACACTGAATGATATGGTGTCGTAAACAGTGGCGTTCTTGCATCTTCTCAATTGCTTTGCAGCCATAGTTTAGTGGAGTTCTCAATTTTCTCTTCGACTCTACCTTCAATTTTCCCGTTCTTCTCCTATTATTCACCCAAATGGGCAGCCAAAAAACAGCAACCAAAACCGGCCCACGAAAGTGCATGGTTACTGGTTGTTCAAACTGAACTATCCCTAACCGTGGATTAGGTTGGTCACGATATGCCCTACATGGAAGGCATAATAGGAGAGGTGAAGAAACCCTACAACAGACAATATGCATGAACTGTTCAACCAAGGTAACATGAGTGGTGATTGGTGGAACCCGGGGTTCTTGGCTTAGGCGAGAAGAAGACCGGCTGATTTATGATAACCTTGTCAAAGAAAAAATGTCGTCCCATTCTGTGTATAGGTATTTACTTATTTCTGTGGAACAATGAAGGAACGAATTCCCAAACACTATCCGGTATGACTGAAAATCTGAACTTAACAGTGTGATGGGTTCACATAGGGCAGAAACTCATACTCTGAGCGTGATCAAGACATATCGTCCTCCCCCTCCCATAATTTGTGGTGGACTACAAGGCGCGCTCGCTGTTGGATACTAGGTTCAGCAGAAGCAGAAGGAAATCATCCGCACAACCGCTCCTCCCCCACCCAACTGTGAGCCCGGGAACAATTTGTGAAGGTGCTTGAGTTCATGTTGGGATTACATATTTTTCGGGAATGTTACCAAACAAACTCTTCCCATTTACGAAATATGAGCATGACGCACGAGTGCATTTAAAAAAAATCTAAGGATTTAAAATATTTTCTGGGTGATAACCGAAAACAGCGGTATACTGTATCACTTGACATAACCGAATTACAGGATCGCGCATAGCTAACAGTCCATTTTTACCAAACACAGGGTTACCGGAGAAATACAATCATCCGCTGTTCCAACAGGAAGAGCGATTTCGTGATAGGATCAAAATGATGGGAAACTTTTAAAAGGACGTTAATGCTTGAGCGTTGCAGAAACTCATTGTTCAACGCACATAAATAGCAACTCTAGTGCACACACTCTCTCCCCATCTGTCTAAACCTTCGGAGCACGTCCACTCCTGAAACGCACACATCAGTGAGTGATACGATCAACTCACCTTGGATCGTTCTAGAGGTGCCAGACAAGACCATTCCCGCTGTGCTTGAATGGCACCGGACACAATATTATCCAATTCTTTCGGGGTTGTTTGCCGGAAATAGACCAGAGGCAAACCGGTGGCCGGTTCGTGTGTGGTCATATACGCTTCACTCACCGTACTCGCTTGACCTCCAAAAGCCGGTTTCAGAGGCACATCTGTCGCGGAAAGCCAGTCGCGAAGTCGTCGCAATGCGTTCATACGACTGGAATCTACGGGAGAGGTACTCATTGCGCGAAAAATTGAAGGGACCAATGCTGAGCAATGTGAGAACCGGAAATAGTGCACGACATTCAACATCTGGAACAAATTCAAGAGTATTAAGGCTGAAGGATAAAAAAAAGGATAACTGGCGGATAGTGAATGGTGCTTTGTTTCAGGGTTGCAAAAACAAAACAGATTTGAGTGAGGAGTGAGTAGCAGAATTCAACCAAACAAAAGTGATGCAAAACCACAATGGATTGGCAATGCGAGACAGTAGAGCGGTCGGTCAGCATCAGTTCAAAATCACGCCTAACTTAGAGGGGTCTTATGCGATTCGCCACTCCAAGTTTCAGGGTTTAGGGTGCCGGTTTCCGTAACCGAACGGTAGGTTCTCGTGACTATGGGTCTATCCTCTTCTATGGTTTATCACATTAAGGTGTGACTGTGATTTGGTGTAGATTAAATTGCCTGGCGTAGATGGACCTCCAATAGGGCCGGGAAACCTTCGCGAAAACGATACCCGAAAGGAAGGTTCCTACACATCTACTTGAGTGGTTGGATGTCAGAGTGCTCTTCAGTTTACCAGTATGACCTAACTGCTCAAAAATGGGCAAATCGGTTAAAGCCCCAGATGTCATATTTTGACTAATCTGACTTCGGTGAAAACATTTTCATCACAAAAGAACTTCCCAGCAGCTTTTGGCAACCCATCAGGTCAAGGAATTCCCTGGAGTAAGGACGAAGTTTTGGGTAACATAGTAGTAACCAACATGAAGAAACCCCATTATTGTGGACCAATATAAAGTGAGAAGTCAGAATTAGCAACCGTTCTCTATTCCAATTAGTCTGCCTTTGATAAATACATGTCAACTTCATTCCCCGTGATTTCAGTACAGTGAATTGACGGAAAATCTGATGGTGAAAGATGATGCCTTGTTTTGAAAACCGAATCCCTCGTCGATCAAAATAATTCATAATAAAAAATTCTTTCATTATAGGCAAAACTAGCAAATAAGCTCATTTTCTTTGCTGCATTTACCGTTTAAGACATCACAAATATTATCACAAAGTCGGATTCGAACCAATGCCTGTGGGATAACTTAAGTGTGAAAAACACCCGATCATGCAACTGAAATGCGACTTTTACCCTTTTAGGTACTCATTTCTCTCCTCAAACCAACTGTGGTGTGTTAGCCAGAGGATGAAGCACCAAAAACGTGCTTTTTCTTGCACTGATAGTCATATAATCAAACAACTCTTACATTCGTCTGCAACTTACAACTGATGCTCGAAATGGACTACTGATACACGACAATCGTTGCTTTTGTTCCAGTTGTTTTGAATTAGAATTAAACGCCGCATCAAATAAAACAAACCTGAGAAATCATTATTGAGGAGACCAGAAGCTTTTAGTTTGTCCAAGTAAAACAACACGCTGACACATCAAATCATCAAACAACTCACACCTCAGTGTGGAGTGACTGCTCATCGAATTCGCGGCTTTCACGATTGGATAAACAGGGCAATCAGGTCAATCTATGCAGCCTCAACAACATAAAAACCCAGTCGAAAAGGAAGCTATGCTTATGAATGACTGTGCTAGGAATAAAGCAACAAATATTGGCACAGTTTTGTCCTTTCTCGAAGCATTTGCAACCGGGGTTGCCCAGGAAAAGCACATTTCAAGCCCTTGATGTCGTGATCACTAACCCATATAGTACTATTGTTCTGGGAGGTTAAGTAAACACTGGGATGAATGTTCCAAACCCCACACATAAGAAATGTGTCATGCATCGAATTATATAGGGCGAAGTAGACAGTAATCGAGTAATTGCTGGAAATCATCGAGTCGTTCGGTTAATTAAAAAATCTAAACGAAGAATTATACTTATCTCGAACTAATTCGAATTTGAGATCGAGCAGGAATGGAACAGTCAATACCAGTGTCTATGTTTATATATATATTTCACACTTGTCTGAGGACAGACTGTGTGCCAAACAAATCATGGTACAATAATCTTTATAAAAAAATTGTTCCATGATTGGCTTGTGGGCTGAGTACTGCCAGGTTGCCCAGGCCAAGGCAGGTGAATTTTCTTTGAGGAATCCACAACCGGAGCCTTCGGCTAGCCAAAGCCTGACCCGCAAGGCAGCCGGACGGTGTGCGAAACCCGCAGTCCATTGGGAGCCGGTGTCCAGTTCATCGGATCATTCGCCTTTCGGACGGGGTCAAACGTCCAAGGTGCCCAATATACCTCAATGCCCAATCGAGCCGGTGACCACTGCCACAAACGAAAAGGTGTGGGTGTGGTTCGTACGTCTCCTCATGGTTGGTTTGGAATCAGGGTTTTTGGCGTGGGTGTGGTTCACTCGTCTCCTCATGGTTGGTTTGGAATCAGGGTTTTTGGCTAACTCTCCTAGGTGAAACTGCCAGTTGGTCCACCAACCCGTCTATAGCCCCGGATATCGGCTTTTCGTCCTCTCACTTTGGTGGGAAAACACCTCCGCCGCGAGAAGGCAGTGAGTAGGGCTCCCTCAGCAGAGGCTATTCGAGACGCCTGGTCGTATGGGGGCATTTCGTGAGGTGCAAGGGCAGGGTGACCAGCCGCAACCCTAGACACCCACCCCCAACCATAGTGAGGCCTTGGGAGGCACCAGTGTCTATGACGATACATCATGTATTGCAGAGGGTAACATGATCTACCAGCCTTTCAATGGTGGTGGTGCAGTGTTTTAGTCGCTGTCACCGGCGTGCTTTGGACTCTATGGTCCGAACCCCGCCGTTGCCACCCGACTTTGGTTCAATACCACACCTAACCTATCGGGGTCTTATGTGGTTCACCACTCCAAGCGCCCAGGCTTAGGCTGCCGGTTTCCACCACTGAGCAGCAGAACCTTGTGACTATGGGATACGCCCCGTCTGTTGTTCCTCACACTTAGGTGTGTAATTTAAAAAATAAGTGATAAAGCACAAAACCACAAGCGTCGCCTATTAATTCCTGTCAAATGATGGGCTAGGTCCTGAGACTGGGAGGGTCAGAAGAGGCTATGTATCCCTCTAAACCGAGCGACGGAAGAGCCAAACAAGCTTAAGAATGGGGAATATATATATATATATGGATCCCGATTTCCGTCAGTAAATTAGTGCATTTGTATCAATCTACATCGGTCCACCATTGCCAGAGTTTGATCTCAGATAGAACAAGTTTGCAAGCATATTGAATAAATGCATGAGCGCCATTGATTACGACGGTAAGCGATATCGCATAGTGTATCCCAAGGTCTCCATCTAGGAATCTTAGAGCGACCTATATGATCGGGTCTCTTGGTCAGGGGTTTCATCCATTTGACTTGCGCAAGACATGCTTAAATCAACATAACCTACGGTATTTAGGCACCTGCTCCAGTGTTACTGAAGAGTTGTATGAAGTTGACACCTCATCACCGCCATCCTACTTCCCCAACTACCGACTAATTACCTTCTCGAGAAACTGATAAACGAAGTGAAAATATCATGCAACCATTTCCTTTTGAAATTTTCATGAGAGAAAGAAGAAACATTATGATCACATGATGTGTTGCATTCAACTGTTTCGTGGTAATCTCGCCAGCCTTGAAGTGAAAATAGTAGCACTGTCGCGTACCGCTAAGGCAGTTTATACCACGGCTGTTGCATCCCGACGAAAACTGGAAAACCTAACGACAGGGAATCCGTAAACAGTGCACTGTGTGTTGAGTGATTCGTAGGCGAGCAAGATACATTCGTACAAACATTGAATGTGAACTGAGCGAGCGATTTAGGCAGTCTGCTGCATTATTGTCAGTTTCTTTTCATCACCTATGTTTGTATGATGAACAGCAGATGGAGCGAACCCCATAGTGGCAAAGACCTGCTGTTCAGTGACGGAAACCGGCAACCTAGGACCGAAAACTTCGAGCCCCGAACCACACAAGGCCCCGATAGACTGGCCGTGGTATTAAACCGGACAACAGCAAAGCTGATTGCCATCAAGGTTAGGTGGTGGTAGCGAGATTCAGATCTCGGACTAAGGGGTTTAAAGCGACTAAACCACTGCATCACCAAATCCGATAATATAAAGCCAACCACAGGGAATCCGTGACACACAAGCATAGTGGGAATATCATTTATGCCGAAGATATCAAAACCACTTGGTCCGATCCGGATTCACCGCTTTGGATACTCAATGGTTATCCACCGATCGTCGGTTCAGTCCACATCCTCTGATTTTGGATGCAGCGACTAGGGCAGACAAGAGACGAGAAGGCGAAGTATGGAAAGAAATTTGGAAATTGGGCATACGAAGTATCCTTTCAAGTAATGAACTAGAATCACGAAAACACGCATCTAGTTAGCTAGATATACTGGATTGCATGATAACGATAGATTTCACGTCCCCATTTTTAGTGGATTAGATTGTCTTAAAAGATGTAGTGGTCCACTTAAAATGATTCAACTTATTATCAGTCACATGATTTGATATTTAGTTACCCCCTACGAATCAGATCTGTTCGGTATTCCTGCATAGATTGTTACCTTGGAATCGACCAGAAAAACTTCTTACAAGGCATGCTCATGAGGATGAATTAAAAGTTGAGTACGTGATACGAGAGTAAAGGGCAGGAGTCTGCTTCACTCGCTTGCGCAGCAGAATATTGAAAGAGCTAGGGAAAAGATGTTTTAATAAAAGTTAGGATAATATATCCATGAAAAAAAGAAAAAATGCTGTTGGATAGTCCATGGCAATAATGAGGTCAACGAAGGCAGATTCAATACCTTCTGCCCAAGGGTCGAAATTCAATCCTTGATCGAAAATTTCTGCGTTGCCACTTAGATTAATTTCCGTAACATTGCGATTCTAACAATCGCAAGGACTAATTTGTAATTAGAATCCTTATTTACCACACTGCATCGGAAATAAATTAGGAGAGACAGAGTAAACTAATTCCAGAATTCCGGCCAAACAAATATTCTAACCCGAAAAGAGTAGTGCCGATTGCTGAACGCGAGAGAATTCGAATACCAAAAATCGTAAGATTAAATCGACCTAAACACTCTCGGAGTTTCGATGAGAAGTATTTCGGCAAAACCAAGTTCGTACTGCGGCGAGCTAGGCTTCGTTCTCGTCCGGAAGCAATGAAAGCACTTGTCGGGTAACCCCTAACCACTATCTTCTCGAGGAGAGGAATTTTCACCAAACTGAGAGCGACAAAACGATATCAGAATCTATGGACAAGTTGCTGAATCCCAAGAGGATAGCTTAACAAACCCTCGAAAAAGGGGCGTACAAAAACAACTCCAGGAAATCCTGGTCGAGACGCTCATCGATTCCATCGAGAATAATCAAAGAGTGAAAGGTAGCCCAGGAGAAAAAAATCTAAATAGGACATCAACGATCAGTTAAACTCGGTCTTCAAGTACTAGCTTACAAACCCTGCAGATCCGGTTAACCGAAAGTTCCAGTTGTGAATTTCCAAAAAATCACCTGCACCGGTTTGGTCAATCTGATATTATGGTACCCATTAATTGATTTATTTTCTATAATGACTCATCTATCATGTTCTCTCTATCATGCTCTGTTTGACACAGTCAGAATCCAGATTCCTCAAGAAATGCTCTCTCACGAACTGTGGCCGCAAACCCTTCTGTGAAAAGTACTAAGCACTGTGTTTTTATGATAAAGGTGATATGACTGAGAGCGACGGCGATAATGAAGTATTCAGGATCCTGAGTTGATGTGTCCAATGGGTTATTGGGCTAGCTCGTCCGCCTCTTCTTATTTGTCCTAGATGAGCCAACGGGATGCACTGGGTGTCCTAAACACGGAAGCTCTCTCTGTTCGATAGGTGTCAGATGGGGTCGATTCGATACTGTTCCATTGTTTTGTGATAACAGTATTTAGTCAAACGATGGAAGGTACTCCACGTGTCGACTCCGGTTTTGGGGGACTGGACAGAATAACAATCAACAATAATGAGAGATCAGCAGGGGAGAAATGGAACTCGTTTGACCATGTTGTTGGTCTTATATACTTATACTCATATACTTCTGACTAGACACCAGCATGTGTCGAACAATAAGCGTACACCAGGCAAATAAAAAAATAGCACCTGGTAAAATTTGCAATTCACCCTCACCGCACTGGTGATAGCTATTTTATCACAAGAAAAAGTTGCTCAGTGCACCCCGTAAAACAAACAAATTGGGGAACACCATGCACCATGCTAAACCACAAAAGGCAACTAAATCAACACGGGCAGTTTGATATCCACAGAGCCCAAAAAATGTGGATTGTTTTTAAAAGTGTTAACAAACCCCATTAAAACGGTGCAGAGAAAAAAGATTTCATAATCCATCGGATTTATTCTACACAGTAGTGACAAAAGGGGACTGTACATGAGGGAAATGAGGTCATGGAAACTGAATTCCAAGCACAATTGGAAGGTTACACGCCGCTACCATTCAGCCACTATTCGGTCTAGTTCCCGGGGGTTGTTGGCTGAAAGGAAAGCGATCTGGGCTCGGCCGTGATCGGTCTGAGCGGCTGGGTTTGTGAGCCACTGGTTTTCTGCGTAGAACCTTAGACAAGCGTCCAGCTCAGTTGGGGTGTAGTTTTCCACAGGAACGGGAATGAACGGATCCATGGCTTTAAAACCATCAGCACCCAGCAAATATCTAGATAAAAGAACGAAATTAGTGTATTCATAGAATAATTGAAGTGAGATTGGACTGTACGGGAAACAAAGTTATTCCACACTTCGAGGAAGATCACCTAGTTCGAGACCTCACCACCATGAATAGCCCAGCGTGCTAGCCAAGAATCGAACGGACTATTAAAAAAAGATTTTTCCNCGAACCAGAATTCACCGTCGAAGAGCATTTAATAGAGAAATCGAACTAGTGTTTTGGCAGACGGGTCGTTCACTTGGACCTTTGAACCTGCAGAAACAAATCCCAACCGGATCAGCTTACATAATCGATAGACGAGTGCAGCGATAGAAAATCTCTCGTAGATGACGCTATGGCATGCATACTCCACCTATGTACAACCATGTACAACCACACGATCGATCACGCGTGTTGCACACACTCCGCTGATTAAAGTGTAATAGCATTCATTCCGTCTGACGGGCAGGCAAAGAAGTGTTGATCCGCCCACGCTTATGGTCGAATGGTTATTTCCGAAAGATTCATCACGAGAGACCTGATGGCGTATTGCTGACGTGGGTCTGGCGATTGGTGATGGGATGATTGGTTGAGGTTGCGCAATATGTATTTAGTCAGTCAGTAGTAGCTGTGCATTCGAATGTGTGAAATTTCAGCATTTTAAACCAAATTTGTGGATTTCAAATTAAAAAAAACTGACAAAATGAGTTTAAAGAGACCAGGTATCGGCTTTGTTGATCAAGCAAGCAATTACGTAATTCTGTGAAAACATAGGAGTAAATAAAAGTTTGAAGCTTGGGCGTGTGGATGATGTGGATACAGGATTTGAACATTCGTGGTATAGTGGATGATGAGTATCTGAGATCATTTTGAAAATCTTCACCTGAAGGTACGTGTGACCCTAAAGATGCCACTGCATTTAGTGTTTTAGGGATCTTATATGCACTTTTTTCGACAGACCGGGAAAAGTCACTGCGAAGTAGTATGACCATATTTACCCACCAACTTGTGGGAAACAGAAAGAGTTGTTAATCGGAGGGAGAGATATAACAGTTGTCTAATTTTACGGAATGTGTCCTGCACAAGTAAACAGAAAAAACATCCTGATATTGTCAGGTATTCAGTGAAAGAGAGTGGAACGGAAGTCAGTTGATATTAGTTAGCTTACTTGAACTGTGCTGAAATTGCACTAAACCTGTTTCGGATTATGTTCGGTGGCTCGGTTTCTACGATCTGTGGAGACGATAGCGATCAGTTGAAGAAAAAAAAACAAAAGAAAGAACTTCATTTTGCCTTGGCACTACTAAGCAATAGATCAAACTGTTTCACCCACTCTCTCATTATTACCAGTCAGTGTTCTCCTATATGCAAATACTTTTTCAGTCCGGTAAGCGTCAGCTGTGATGTGACGAAGCTATTCAAGACATGTATCAGGTGCAACGATCTTGGCAACTTGCCATTCCGTATGAATGTGAGTCATGTTCATGTCTCACCGGACCTTTTGGTTCATGGTGTCCGCATTTTCTTCTCTTTCAGGTTATCAGTTCGCCCTCTCCACGGAGAACATCCTGTCTGTCGACCACGATTCCAGCCCACACCTAGACTCGGCCCACTTGCGGTTGTCTGGTGTATTCGTTCACGGGGGACATCCTGCTGCACACACGAGCCAAGCATCTCACACAGGAACAGAGTGTTTCAAGTTTTTTTTGAACGTTATCTCCCGTCAACAATTGCACTTCTTATTGTGTACACACACACCGTGTGAGCTCGGCAGAGATCTTTTCAGTGAAATGCGTTATGCAATGACTGCGGAATGAACATAGTACATGCATTATTTTGACCCAAACATAACCTGAACTGTTAGTGAATGGACATTGGACCGTGGTTGACTAACAGAAGGAACTGAAATGCAAGTAGCGCGCGGTGTAGCACACACAAAGGGAATGAAAAACGCGAATGATTCAAATGAATCTTGGAATTCCCAATAGACTGTTGCATTGGGTTGTAACAAATCTGACCAGGGGGAATGGAAACATTATATACTTCAATATTTTGTCTCCAAAATCTCTCTCACTCTGTCTCGTTATCTCTCATTTACTTATCAATTCTTATAGGACAGAACGACTGGAACAATGTGAATATATACAGAACATCAATTAAATGCGAAAACAATCTGACCGGTCACTAAATGCGCATCAGTGCGTGATGTGAATTCGATACCGGATCAATAGATCGCAATTTCTCCAATCGCTTGTATAATGTATCGGTTGCTTCGATCGATTATAACGATGCTCATCAGCCTGTGCCGATTACTAGCTATTTAGGCTCAAACACTTATAGTTTGGATAATAAATCTGATCTGTAACACCCGAAAACTAAAAATAACAAATCAGTAGCGATCGATCAGCAAGTTGAACGCACATTCTGCAAATATATCCTCTTGTATGTGATATTATAGAGACCATTAAGTACCGGTCAAAAGTAAGTTCATATAAAATGCACACGTCAATTCGATCTAGTGTTAAGTTGGTCACCACTTTACTGATAAATTAATTTTCGGCGCCAAATCAGTTAACGGGCATAGCATTATACCAATCAGAATGGAATTTCACTAACCCGGGGGTATATTTTTCACGGTCTGATGGCCATGCTCCGCGTATATTCAGCGATGTGATGCACGCGCCATGACGCCAGTCTGCTTTCAAAGCACGTCTCAGATGATGTACAATGGCCAGACGATCAACTGTGACTTTCGTGTGCAACGTTTTATCTTTCAGTCTGGTACCACGACACCAAAGAAAGTTGACACCATCAATAACAAGTAAACACGGAGGTCCATCGGGCTTCGAACACAGATGTCGCATCTGTAGAAAAGTGACAGCAAGGGGCGGGTGAGAGCATAGTGTTGCATGACCTGTGAGAAATTTCCTCCAGCAATCAGCGAGTAAACCCAACAAAGGAAGCACAGAATTAACGCCACAGTACAATTGAATAGACAAATATCTATCGTACGAAAACATTTTATTTTTATTTTTCACAAAAAAAACACCAAGATTATAAAAACTTTCATGGATCATCCATCACCCTCATGTGTTTAGCTAGTCGAGTTGGGGTGTTCCAGAGGAGCAAGGCAAGGTGTGCTACCCCGATGGTCAAAGTGACAAAACTGCAGCGAGACACAGTAAAGTGAACTGGACTGATAATTGCCAAACTCGCAATATACAAGAAGTACAAAGATGCAAGGCGACTGAGGAGAGGTGGATCTGATGCAAAAAATTAGAGGGCGGGCATTGCTGTCAGTTCGCTACTGTCTCACTCAGTTAGTTACACTCAATTACAGAGTCTTTTGTATACTGGCCGGAAGTTTGAGAGGAATCTGCTCTACCAATTCCCTCTAAACCTAACTCTTAATGCCTCACCTATCACGTCATTTGTTGATACCTACATTACTTTCTCCAGCCCAGAGCCGTATCTGCGAATTACTAAGATTCGGAAAACCGGAAAGCTAGAAATCCGTCTGACGTTGTACGAGCGTCAGCTGGATAACAGCTTGCTCTCTGAATTCGGGCTACTGGGATCCGGCTCAACAAGCACTAAAATCCCTGGTATTCACGATCAACCACAGAAGTCATGTCACGTTTGGGCCTCAAGTCACCAAGCAAATACTACTCAACAATCTAGAAGCCACCATCCCTCAGAAGTGCAGTGGCGCGGTTCAAGGACTATTCAGTATATCTTACAGCAATTGAAGTGTTAGCCTCGTCTCCTCCGCTAAGCACAAGAAAATTCAAGTATTTGCTTTGTTCCAATCGCAGGTGAAAGCACAGGCCACTGAGAGCTAGCAAACCACTTGATCGTGAAATCTCCAAAGAGGACTTCCTCATCAACCATGGAGTGGAACGTGAAAATTGACCCATACAAACACCATAAGTCAAACCGTTTGGCCTGACCTAGCTCTGCGACAATGGCGGTTTGAACACCCTCAGGTCTAACAGGGAGAAAAGATGAGTCGGCACAAAAGATCAGTAGCTAACTTCGGAACATGTAGCATAAACGTATTATCGATGCAGGAGTACGGATTTCTAAATACAAAAAATTTGCAGCCTGTGCAATCGATGCCCAGTCCTCGCTCCGTATGCGAATGCACCGTCATTCGAACCTAGCTACAGTTCGTCATACGTGAAGGAAGTATCGAATAGCATCAAACAACGTGAAACGCAAAACGGTTCCTGTTTTGGCCGTGAAACACGCAAATCTCTATGCAAATTACCCCCAGGGTTATTTTGAATCTGATACACAACATAAGGTGATCCATCTGGGGAACCAAAACTGTCCAACAGAGTGAAACGACAGGATTCTACATTTTCTTCCCAAAAACAGGTGACAGACTTTTGTTTGAAACCTGCAGAGGGATCGGAGTGGCATCTAAAGGTTTAACAGAACTTTTTGCTGAACTGTGTTGCAACAATAAGGCACTCGCATCCGACAAAAAGAAAAAACTTCTGCCCCGATACTGGACATCCTGAGCAACTACTAGCCCTCCCAAAGTCCAACACAAAAAAAAGTAGCAACATCACGCGGCAACCGGCATCATAGATCGATCTGTAGTATTAAACTCATTAGACTAAGAATCCCTCCATAACGCTTGACACGGGAGCATAGCGTTCCTAATAACATCACGAAACATTACCACCTATTTTCTTGACATCCTCCGTTGGAGATACGGAATAATGTTAGTGTAGACATTATTCCACTCTCTCATGAACGGCGTCTTTTTTCCTGTTTTGTGATGTAAATGCTTGCGTTTCGGTACATTTTTCCGCTAAGAATAGCCAAAACCTTTTGTATAGGGTTCAAGCCAGGACTGCAAAAGCGTCACACTATTGATTCCGTGAAATTTTTTGATACGAGTTATACTCACTTGAAACAAGTTATACTGCAAGGTCAAGTTTGATCGTGTGATCCTTTCGATTGTCGCTCCACATGTGCACACATCCTAAAGCCCCCCTTCACACACACGCCGAAACCGGACTGTCC